GACGGGTGCCCACTGCTGATTCAGAGCCCTCGCGCGACTAAATGGGGATTCTGGTAGATTGACACAGATCAGGAACATGTGGAATGCCATGCCAATTAGCTTGAGGCACTGTACGGCTAAGTGAGGTCAAGAGGGCTAGATGGGAAGCAAAATGAAAACCGCAGCGAAGTCAAACAAGGCAGGCGGCAATTTAAGGGTACACAGCAATACAAATAGTTAGTGCACCTACGTCCGGCTCGGAACCAGGCTTCGTTGGACAAGGCCCTTACATTTTTCCTTTGGAAAATGACGGTGACAAATACTTGATGGCAAGGTTGAGGGCAATTGTGACGCAGTTAACAGGCGTTGCCTTAGCTTACCTGTGGCACACAGACATAAATGGATAACCGAGTCCTAACCAACAGGTACCATCTTGTTTATCCAACCAATCTCCACCTCCAAGACGCGGTTAGAGCCAGTGGAGATTTACCTCAACACCTCTTCAGTACGATTCACGTAAGATCTACACTTATCACCCCAAAATACAAGCCCAATCTGGTGAGAATGGCTATTATGATTGCAACGGGTGAACTATTAGACTTTAAAAAGAAACACGAGTTCCGCTGCCAACTGATCAGTGCTCAAAAACATGCAAGGCAAGTAGACCGTCGGAAAAACTCACCTTAAAGAGGGTCAGTAGGACTATGCCACTGACGATGCAGGTCAAGCCCACAATGTTTCCGATGCAGTCCAGCACTGTGAGGGAGCTGCCCTCCTTGAAGAGGATGGCTGAGGCAATTAGAACAAATGCAGTGAAAAAGACGTAGAGCAGCGGTGTGACGACGCTCGTGTTGAAGATGTCCAAGGCACGATTTAGGAAGTTGAGTTGGACTGTTAGACAGAAGGCTAGGCCCAGCAGAAAGAACCAAAAGATCCACTGATTGCAGACTGTTAGAATGCCGTTTTCAACGGCCTCCTGCAAAAGGACAATGAACACTGCAGTAAAAGATTTCACCGATGAGCGTCAAAGCAAGTATTAACTCAGACCTGTTCGGAATAAGCTCAGCTTACCACCAGCAATTCAGACAAGCCTTTTTAAAGCTTGGACAATTAGCGAATAGTAATAGACAGAGCGATACTGAAGCGTGCGCAAGAGGGAAAGCAACGTTTTTGGGGAGCTACCACGCAGTGTTAAAATAATCAGAGCTTCCGCTTGTCTCCTGCTAAACCCGAGGTGAAAAAGCTCATATCAAGAGGCAAACTGAGTCGGCTGGTTTACGGAATTTCGCCTAACGCGTCACATAACCCTTACGTCAGACATACTGAAGAGTGACCACAGAAATAGGCACGTACACACAACCCGAGAGGATGGGGGAGGGGGGAAATGGATCAGTTGTCTGCGACAGAGGACTAGGCATGCCGTTAGTTTG